TGGTTTCCTTTTGGATGACCTCATTTTTCCTATTGCAATGGTTTTAGGTGGATTTCACATTATGGCTTATTTTTGCCAAGGGTCTGAAAGGTAATTTGTTCCATGTTGGTAAGTGGAGGGGGTTGCTTGCATAATTAACTGAAATACATTCAGCAATTTTCTGCCCCCCCACCATTTTCAGATGACAGCTTTTAAGAGTGCCAGGATGCTGACATAAGGTTGACCTGCAAACTATTTTTAACAGCACAGATTTATGTCAATAAGCTTCATTGGGGTCTTGTTTCTTGTCACTCAGAAATTATTGAAAAAATGATTTTTAGATTCAAACAAAGTAGATATATTGTTGTACATTGTCTGATTTAAACTACACACTGTTCTTAGATCAGATTATAATTAGAGAATTTGGATTTACTGCAAACCATTCTCATTAACACGTTTGCTTTATGGTCACATATAAAAGCCTGGATAACAACAAGATGCCCAGTTGATCTCATTTTTGTGTTATTAAGAGCTTAGAAGGGCTCTTAATGAGGGATTTAGGGGGAAAGTTATTCAGGAAGTCCTGGGGACAGACTTTGTTGTAAAGCTTCGCATAGAGTGCCTCGCCCAGACGCTATCGACCCCACCTCTCACCCTAACACATGCTCCCCCTCCAGTGTCTGGGATCCTCTCCTCTGAGGAAAAAGATCAAATATAAACTCAGGAATCACCTCTGTTTGCCCTTTTGCCCGCAGGATTGTCCGTGATGTCAGTCTCTCCACAGCTTTGTGGAGGTAAACAAAGGAAATAGGAAGCATAAGGCAGCAGGTGCTGGCCAGCTGCTGATGTGTCTATAGGTCTCATAGAGGACAATGGAAATGTCTTTGGAAATGTAGTAATTTGAGTGCTATATTAGTTACAGTCAGTATCTGAAATAACAATTTGTTTGCACTATGCTTCTATGGTTTGATTTTCACGTGGAGATTTACTCAATTGATATTTAGTTTTAATAATACAGATTTAAAATGCTGCTTTTGCATCAGAGGAGACTCTGAGGAGATAATGTGACGCAGCTCTGTTCTGAAGTCGAAAAACAACTTTTTTCCCACTTGATTAAGGATGAGGAAGCAAAAAAGTTTAAGGCGTGGGAGTTGGGGGAGGAGAGATGGTGTTTCTTTGGGAACAGGCCAAAGACCTCTGTCTCTGTTTGCTCAGATGACATCATCCTCCTACTATCCCATATATCAGATACCCTGCTGTCCTCAGCGTTAATCCTCATCTTTTACTGACCCAACACTGAGTCAACGATTGGCTTAAAATTTCACTGAAGCTGCGTGCTTCAGTCAGTGTGCAAGGCTTTCCAATTTAAGAGGCAGTGGATTCTAAGAATGTTATTGTGCCAAAGGTTCAGTTCAGTTCAGTTTTTACCTAATTTCTTCAGCAGTATTTGATTAATGACGATATATAATGTGCCACATTAGCTTTCTGATGCACCAGAAAAGGATGACCTATTGTTGCCCAGTCTCAGTTATGCTTCATCGAGCCATAAATGACAAATGCCTTGATTTGGTAGCAGTGGCTAAGAAAAGTGACACATTAAAGTATGACAGAAAAATTTCTGTTTAACTTTTTAACAAGGCATAACTTGACTAGATTCCCAAACACTCCCACCTTTCCAAAAACGGTGAATGTAAAACTCATTATATTCAGCAGGAATGAAAATGAACTACACTGCAAAATGATCACGGTGACAGACATTATGTTCCTATATACGGAAACATGCCCCCCTCTCTTTAAAATTACAGAATGGAAAGGGAGAGTGCTAATTAATGTATGTTGGCACCTTTGTTTAATTTCCTAATATACTTCTTGGATAAGCTGTTTAGTGCAGAAAGTGTTGCCGGTATAAGTAAAGTTCACGTCTTGCATTATCACCTACACTATGGCCTACTACAGTATGAGACCAGCGTGACGTGTCCTGGGCACCTGGCCATCACTGATCCCACTCCTTAGACCTGTGTTTGTTTTGGGAGCTCTGGCTACCTCTGACCAGAGGATAAACCCTGAGCTGTGTATTTTGAGTGTCAGAAGCACTTTGTGGGACTTGTGAAATGGATTTGATTCAGGACTTATGCTGGAACCAGCAGAGGCTCTGCTTAGTGTCACAGCACAGCATAAACACCTGTTGATTTCAAAATGGTCACATCATGCACTAACTGGCCTCTGACCGTGGAAATGCACAAATCTAACTCTTCCTCTATAAAATGGACTTACTCTGGAGGATCTGCTGCTCAGTGAGCTTCTGTTACTGTTTTTTGGAACAATCAATGGACCATAGCTTATACAGGAAATACCAATATGGATGAACAAGGGAATTAGATCATCACAGAGAGCTACTCGGCTCCTTGCTACTGGAGAGAAATAGTGGGGAAATAGAAGTGAGAGAGTGCACACACACTGGATGAAAAATATTGGGAAACTCATGGCTAGAAAATGGAAATGAGGTATTAGAGTTGGCAATAAATACTAGACCTAACTGCCTGAGAATTTTCCCTGCTTAGGAATGTGTCAGACTTAGGATGGAGTTCCCATGGCTTTGGTGTGAGGTATGTATGAGGAATGGTGCTCATTCCAATTAGACTGTTTACTTTGCCCTCTCCGTTGCGCGCCGCTCCGCTGCTCAGGCGCGTCTGTGCGTAAAGGCTGCAGTGCACTTAACGCCAGCTGGAAAAAATGGACCCCTGTTTTTGATATTGTTACCTCACATATCATTTTTTATTTTATTGAGGCCAGATACAAGTTTGTAGTCTTGTGAATGTACATAGATTTGCACAATTGAGTTTACAAAGGCATTTGGATCTTTGCAACATTGCGGTGACAAAACAGAATATCGTGCCAATCACAAATAAATACTCCACCCTATGTGTATTAATCACTCACACTTCAACACAACATATGTGTCGTTTTTGGATGAGTATGAGGAGTCGCAAAAAACACCTGAATAATCATGAGCAAAAACAATTAACTTACTGTTTTCCGGCGGACCATTGATCATGTTGAACTTGTAAATCTCTTTGGCATAGTACTCAGTCTCCGTGTTATCCTGTCCACAACTCTGATGCCGGTCTCTTCCCAGCTCCTCGATGAGCTCCTTGGTGCTGTTATAAAGGGCCAGAACCTGATACGGTACTTGACTTGGACCTGTTGTTTGAGGCGGACTGGTCAGCCGGAGTTTACTGAGAATCTGTCCCCGGACCGCCTCTACTCTCTTTTTCTTTATGTGGTCGATGTCCACAGTGGTGCACGTGGAGAGCGACAGAGTCATTGTCACACAATTTAAAAGGAGGAAAAACAGAAGTGCATTTCCCAGATTCATATTTCACTATGTGTTCAGTCACAACCGAGGATTGTCAAGTAAAAGAAGAAGAAAAAGCTCCGATTTGAATAAAATCCCTTTCTCTTTTCATTCAGGTCGTTAGTGAGTCTTGTTCCAGGAGGAATCCCATTTTCTCAAGTGCTATGTCATCTTTGCAAAATGAGCATTTGCATGGGAGCAAATCCGTGCCATTTTGGAAAAAGCTCTCAACTCTTCAATAAGACTCGTTATTCTACTCTTCATTACCCCTTATCTCATGCAAGCACCTCTTATTATCTTCGTGAGTGTATAGTGCGCCGATCTCTGCACCGCAGTTCAGTTTCTCCAATGCATCGGGCTCTTTCCATCCACTTGTGCATACGGAGTCAGCGCGTCTCTCTGCTCCTTCGCTGCAGTCCGGCCTCAAACACACTCAAACGCTCTCCACTCTCACTCATACTTTATAGTCACAAGCTGTGACGTTTTCGAGGGAGGGGCAGCAAGCTTTAAGCCTTCGTTCGGACAATGAGATCCGTCCTATTCTGAAATGTGTTTAATTCGACTTTTCATAATATTTTTGTGCTGTCAAACTAAATAAAATGTGCGTAATATTAGGCAGAATGCGATTTCACAAGAGCGGCTCTCGACTAAAGAAGCAAAGTCACTGGACCGATTTGTCCATGGAATATTTTTGCGTTTGTCTTCTCGACGTGACTTGTGGGTTTTTTTATGTATAAAAGTGAAGTTAAGTAATGTGATACTCATTAAGTCCCATCAATGACGGATATTTAGCCTGTCTGTGGGTCATTTACTTTTATAAGTCCTTGGAAAATATTGACCTCATCCAAAGTAATGTTTTCGAGGAAAATCAAATGCAGATGGAAGGCCAAAGTTGACAAAGGGCACTGAAGGTGAACAGGAGCTCAGCCAGCTGCTGTGAACCACTGGATGCTGCTACTGTTCAGTTTCTCCCCAGCAACATAAAACATGCATAACAGCGACATCTAACGGACGCAGGGGGTCACTTCAGGTCCCATATGCAACTGAAGTGTTGTGGATATACCCTTCTTATTGCAGTCTTTGATATAGACTGTGCAGGCCTGAATTAGATGAGATAATGTGACGGGGCTCTACTTGATTGAGTTTGAGGATGAACAAAATGTTAAAGGGCGTGTGAGTTGTGGGAATGATTATGTTTGTTTGGTAAAAAGGCAAACCAGGGCTCTGATTGTTTAGATGACATCATTTTTCCTCAATCCCTCCCTCATGTTTTTACTGGCCCAACCCAACACTGACTGAATGATCGGTCCGACCATTCACTCAAATTGCATGCTGTGTGCAAGGCACGAGCTTTCTAATTTTAGGAAATGGGTCAGTCTTAAATCAAATGTTAGCATGCAGAGGGTCATCTTTCGGTTCACACATCCCTGTCTTTACTTTATTTTTTCATTGTATTTTGCCTTTATAATAATCCTAATGATCATCTCACTCAGAAGCAGCATTAAGCAGTACATTAGTCATTAATACTGTCTGTGTATCGTAGCTTTCTATTTGTTTATTCTTTACTTATCGCGGTGATTGACTGGGGCGCGAACTGTCCTTCTGATTGGCGTTACCATGGAGAGCGTTGCCATGTGACGCTTCTTGATAAACAGGAAGACGCAGGCAGCAACAAGCAGCGCGAGGAGGAGAGAAATGGATGACAACTTTCAGCTCGGAGATGTTGGGTCGGCAAAAAATGTAAGTGACTCGTTGGAATTGGCAGGAAATGCAGTAAGGACAACTTTAAGTGTTGAGAGCATTACGTAACGGTACAGCGAGGCTAATTGTAGCTAACGGTACTAGTGTTAACGTTAGCTACTAAGCTAATATAAACCTCAGTGTTAGACAGTCAGTGACTGAAAGCTGTTACCAGCAAAGAGACATTATCCTACCATTTACCGCAGCAGGAATGGTTCGTCTGTGAGTATAACGTTGTAGCTAGCTAACGTTAGCTGAGTGGTTAGCACTGCTAGCTAGCTGCATGCACACACAGCTCAATGTTTTGCAGTTCACCTTTAAATTAGCTTGTGTGGGTTTCAGTGAGATAATCATACTTCACTCCTAGACCTTACCTGGTATGAACATGAGCATTATGCAAAAAGAACATTGTCATTGCCACATCCAGCACAGCGTGACTTCACAGAATTGGAAGTTGTACAAAATGACGAAGCAAAAGCCTACTAAGCTCCAAACTCGGTTGGTTTATGAAAGTGGAATAATCTGATCTGTTTTATTTTGAAGTCCATCCAGACAACATGTGGTGGGCTCATTAGATGATTGGCACAGTTAAAGCAAAGCGAAACCACAAAGCCTTTGGTAATCATTGGGAGTGCCAGCTTCTGGCTTTATGATATCAATTTCCAATTTTCAAACTATATGCACATTTCCCAGGTTGCAAAGTCTGGACGAAGAGCTCGCCTTGCAGCAGACCAATTGTCTTTTGAAGATGCTCGCCCCGTTCGGAAGTCCTCCACATCTGCTTCTATGGGAGAAGTATGTAAACATGTGATAACAGATACTTCGATTGAGTTGCATGTTTATAATTTCACAATAATCTTCAACGATATTGATTTTGGTTTTGTCTCATACATGAATCACAGGAGGACGACGAGGTAGGGAGCATGAAAAAAAAAAAGCGGTGACTTTGCATGGCTTCTGCTGCTAATGCTCCAGACATCAACTTTATATCAATCACAATAGTCTTAGCTTCACTGGTCCTTTAACGTGAGTTACCATGGTTGTTTGCTTTAGTTCAGCTGCTTGGGTACAACATCCAGGTGGGTTGACATTCACCATCTCTTATATTACAGCACCCTTGGTAACACCAGCTTGACACACAACGTTTTAATAACGTCCTCATTTATTTGAGTTGACATTTTCCCTACTTCCTATATTCATATTCATAGCATATACAGTCACTGCTCTAAAACTGTAGCTGCTCTTCATTTATTCTCCTGTGTGTGTTCGGATCTGTCGTACTCGCATGAGATGTTTTTGAAGTGTACGAGCTCTGAAACCCTTTTAAACTTTAGAGCACAACGCTTTGTAATTGCTCTCTTGTAAACTGTCTCATTGAAAAACAAGCAGATGACATCACTAAAATCCACATGACTCTACCAACAATTTTCACAAATCCTCTCCTTATACTGCCAACTAGTCTCAGCAGACACGTTGTCGTAAAGCTTTCTCAGCGATGTCCGCCTCTTAAAACATGTTGGAATTAATGTTGCTAAATTTAGACTAAATATAGAGCAAACATATATATGAGATGACGCAAATCAGAAGTGACAGTTGAAATCTATAAAAAATTTCACTCCACTGTCGTTGGCATTTATGGAATCAGGGACTCTTGGATTTGGCAAAGAGTAAACCAGCCAACATTCCCAAAGCAAAACATTCCAGCGATGCTTTCGCTTTAGGCTAATCTTCCCAAATTAGGCCAATTTCCCTAATGTATGAACCGGTATTCTCGCGCCCTTTCTGACCTGCTGTGCACATGCAATGCATTTTTCCAGAGTGTCGTGCGACTGGGTGGATTATTTGGAGTCTTCGTTCATCGACCCTGGCCTGTTCTGCCTAAAATACCCAAACTGATTGGTCACATTCCTGACATCCTTCTAAACAAAGACTCATTTGCTTTTATTGGCTCCTCGGGTTTGGTCCCTTGCCCTAGAGACCATCGGAGAATCCTAAATTTGAAACTACGAGAGCTAAGCTAATTGCCGTCACAGCTATAACTATTTTACTACGACTGTGAGGTTCATATTTGGTCATGAAGAATGCGAGGCACGGATTTCTTCAGTTTCTCATGACACTTATGGTCCTCTCCATTTTTTTTGTAGAGTGAAATAACTGTCACAGGATGTATTTATTACACCCAAAGACACTTGACCCTATACTATCTTGTCTTTCATGAGAATCGTTCATTTGAAGAAATACCAAACATTGAACATCAGAGTGATTTCACGTTGCATGAAGCAATCCTTTCAATGTTGCTTAAAATGTCTCAATTGTCATTATTATAATCCCCTTTGTTCTTAATAAAGAGACAGTTACTAATTACACAAAGTTGAGGAAGCTTGTTCAGCCTCAGCTCTCTGGATTGATGGTGATATACAGCAGAGCAGAGTAGCGCCCCCTCCCTCCGCCCTGCTTAATGGTGACATTCAGATTTATAAATGGCTTTGGTGAAGGAACCAGCCATGAAAGATTATTTCCTCTTTCATCATAAACGAAAGAAATTCTTCACGAGCACTTTGTCCTCTGCAGACCCAATTTAGTAATGAGAAATGTTGTGCCTTTTTTTTTCCCCCCTAATTCATTTGTCTAGTGCCCACCCTCTTGTGCTCTGAGGAATTCATTCATTCAAGTGCTGGTCTCAGGGTCCCGGTCTCAGGATCGACATGCGTACTGCGTTTACTATTCTCAGAATCAAAGAATGAGAGGGAGAGGGTCATTTCTTTCCTGTTGATCTATTTCAGGGTCAGACTTACGGGCCCGGGCAGTTCCCACACTCTGCTCCATATGTGCTGGAAATGGACGGTGTTGAAAACTATAATAGTAAACAAAACAATGGAGTGCATATAGATGACTGTGCTGCACATGCCAGGCATGCGTTTATTGTAAAGGTAGCTTGCAACTTAGAGGTGAACCTTGGTTTAAATGATCCCCAGACCTTACGTAAGACAATTAAACTTGCATTTTATTTTCTTTTTACATTTATGCTAAGTAAAATTGTTTGCTTTTTGTGTTGTTGTAGACTAGAGGGCCACCAAACTAATTTTGCACTTACACAATATGGCCTATTCACCACAATACCAAACAAATATTGATGTAACACACAAGCCCTATAATTATGACAACTCTTAAAGCTCAAACTTGCACAAAGATGATATTTGTGTGGTCTATCTTCCAAGAATAAAGCCTAATAACCGTTAGATTGTTGCCATATATGATTTCTTTATCCTCCGTGTGAGTGATTAAACATTCAATGAAGCTGTTTGCACATGTTTTCAGGGTCCTCCTCCTAAACCGGCCCGGCGGCAGGGTGGCTGGGCAGAAGAAAGCTCTGCTTCCGGTTCTGCCAAGTAAGTATGTTCAACTTTCCCTCCTTCTCCTGCGGCTACACTGAAGGCGGAGAGAGACGGCGAGCCGCGGTCCTGGGTTATGTGTTATTAATGAACTCTCATGCTGTTGAATGAGCTTATTTATCAGTGCATATTTGGCACTCGGGCTGTGAATCAACAAGGTTAGGGGGGGGGAAGCCTGTCTGAGCAGGCAACTCTCCATTCGTCTTCATCTGTGAGCAAGGCGGTAATTGACATGGTTAATGCATCAGCCACAGGAGGGCACTGTTAGTCAGCTAGCCACTTCATCACAGGGGTTCGAGCCACTTAATCAACCCTTACCACTGCAGTCTGCTCTTTACAGAGGGAGCACAACATGGAGAATTTGTGAAATATCTGGAACAGATGGAAGGTGTTTGCCAAAAGCACTGTCCACAACTAACACATCTAAATACTGTTCACCACTTGAACATAAAGACCTTTTTATTGTAGTGTGTTACTACCTCTCTGGTTCTTTTTCTTCCGCCTGCCACTGTGCATTTTGATTCTGTCTCAGTGGAGGTGAGCACATAAGAGATGCATTGAAGTGAACAGGCTTGAGTCAATTGTGCTTATTTGCGTCGTTTACTGCACCGTTAGTGCGAGCAGGGAAAACTCTGTAGATATTTATTTTTCTCACAGAAGGTCAGCGTGTCGCTTCTCTGCTTTTACGTAACCCAGCTTGATTCGCAGTCTCGAAGCGATTGAAATACAGGAGGTGTAAAAGGGGTTTGCGTGCGCATTGATCCTCTCTGAAACAAAGTAAGTAATGGTCCCCCCTGGAACTGGCAAGGACTTTTCCCTTCAATGTCACCTCTCATGCTCAATCACCGCCGCCCTCCTCCCACTAATCCCAGCGCAGAAATCCCGGGATTTGTCGATCTATCACTTCTAATTGACACTAAATGATCTGTCAGTTTATTGATGAACCTTTGAAACCAGGTTGTCACAATATATTTTATCCCTAACAACTTTTTCCAGACAGTTTTACCATGTCTCTCACTTTGCCTTACATGAGTCTTAATCAAGGGGCCTGTAATGTGTCTTAAGTGTCGCCGCCACCCCCCCCCAGACAGGACACAGTCCAAGGGCAGGCAGGTAGGCTCCCTCAGCTCCTCTCTGCCCGTCTGGTTGGGCTCTAGTACCTCCAAGGCTGTTGCTCTACACTCAGACAGCATTTCTTTTAGCTGACAATTAGCTAATGGTGTTTTATTCAACCTATTCAAAGTCATCCTTTCCTTTTATTTTGCGTCTCCTCTTGAAAAAAATAAATGATTTTCAGATACAATTAACAAATGCATCCTAACTGAAACGTCTGTATAGATTGATGACAGTTGATGTGTCGAGGGGACACTATACTCATCTGGGTTTTTTTTGTGCAAGTGTTCATTTTTTGAGCTGATGAGTTTGTTTGCCTGAATTGAAATGCTGTCTGCTCTGATTGTCAAGTCAGTTTTATTTATACAACCCAAAGTCCCAAATCAAATTATCCTTAAAGGCTTTTCAGTCTGTACAGCAGACTCCCCGCAGAAAAACCCTTTTAATAGAAGAAGAGAAAGTTACTTCCTGAACACCGAGGGACCCCTCTTATGTTTAACTGAACGTAGCGAGTGTACAGGTGCTAGTTTTAATGTAGACGCTTTTATTTACCTTTCATTGTTGTTCACAGGGGGTCTACCTTTCTAGTCTCTGTACACTGACATCAGTGTGCAGTGATTTTAATCCCAACATTGGTACTTAGGTATTATGATATGCACATCTTTTATTATTATTATTATCTTTAATTGTTTTTTTTGATGCACATTTAACAGTATGAATTTATCTAATTACAATTAATACTGCAAAAAAAAAATCAAGATTGCAGATCAACTTGATTTGAAAGGATGAAGATGACAGCGAGGCTGTTCTGGATGTATTGTTTTTACCAGTAGGGGGCACTATTCAACCAGGAGAACGAGTAAAAGCATTTTGCATCAGGAAAATAGATTAAAACCTCCGATACACATTTTTAGGCTACTAATAAAAATACATTAAAACGTATCTGCGCTGATTCCTTTATTATGTTATATGATGATTGATAAGGTTGAAACACTTCTTAGGTAACTGTAAAGTTGTTTTCCCTTTACGTCTGCTGTGATTGCTACCTTTCTTAAAGCAGATTGTGAATGCTGAAAATACTATGTTGAGGCAGAGAAGTGTCAAAACACAGTATTTTGGTGTCTGGCATGCTCTGTTCAAGCTGAGCTGTGTAAATGGAGAGAAGTCTGAAATAGCAGTCTGAACCAGCAGGAGACGAGGCTGAGACAGCAGAGAGGAGAAGACACAACTATTGTAGACCCCACTGTGTCTGGTAGAGCAGGATTACTATCATTAGATACAGATAGAAAGGATACATATATATATATATATTCAAAAAGGAATGGTTCCGCTTCTTAAATTGGTTGAGATTATGACAGACATACGCATTTAACAAAAGCTGAAATTGAAATGAATTTTCAAACAAATAGAATAACACACCCACGCACGCGCACACACACACACACACACACACACACACACACACACACACACACACACACACACACACACACTACATTAATGAAATCAAATGAAAAGACTAAAACTCGTCAGTGTGTTGTTGAGTGTTCTCTTTATACTATGGAACGAACCAGAAGACCAGTAGTGCTCGTCGAGTTAAGTGATTGCTCCAATTACCATGGACATTCATTGCTCTCATTACAGAACTGCCACAATCAACAGATTATTATTATTATTATTATTATATATATATATATATATATATATATATATGAATGAGAGAGAGAGAGACATCTTTGAGTTTTCTGCTTATCATTCATTTGAATGTAGGGAAAATGTAATCTAACAAGTGTGTTTTTTTTAATGATTGCACATTTTTCTGCTGTTCTACAGATCTTCAAGAAGACCTGCAGCTGAAGACCTGGAAGAGTAAGTTCACTCAGCCACCACATCCATATTTCATTGTACTCCTGCAGTTGTTTATTGAATTTACTGCCAGTTCCATTTGTGTGTGTGTGTGTGTGTGTGTGTGGATGAAAATATGTTAGTTTAAAATGTTTGTTCCCTTTTGCAGTAAAATGGAAACAGCGCTGTGATTTCAGGTTGTCCTTGGTTGCAACTAATCTTTGCCTTCCAAGAACAATCACTTAACATGATTAAAAAAACAGCGTGACTGAGTTGTCATCACTTTTATTGCTGTGAGGAGCCAAGTTTTCCCGTTATTCTATTTTTTTCCCCCCTCACCCTCCTTCACATCATTCTGTGACTGGAATAGACATCACGAGGAGAGGCAGGTAGAGGACGAAGTCGTCGATGTTTGACTCGTTGTAGCGGTTGGAGCCCGGTGCCTGAATGGCTGTAGTGAGACAGAGGCTTTGTGTGTAAAGTTATTAGAAACATCCCTTGTGTTGTGCTTCTGTCACAACTGCCTTGTCTCAGTGATACTTATTCAGCTCCAGCTGTTTTTTTAGTTTTTTGTTTTTTGTTTTAAATCCTAGAGGTGATCTTGTCTAAGGCTGGCAGGCAGCACAGCAACGTCTCAGAAGCACATTCAGTCTCGTTTGACAGAGACGACTGTTCAGAAGTCCAGTCACACTGTAGCAGAGCGAGCAAGTGTCCTGACTACCATGAGAGCAAGACGAGACAAAAAAAACAAGCCCATCATCAAAGAAAAGTAACCCAGGAGCCAACTCACTGTGATGACCTCACCGTTGGGCTGCATTTTGAAAAGCATGAAATAGTTCGTACTCTCACACTCACCTGTTTCTATACAGCCGCCGCCTGCGACCACAGACTCCCCAGGGATCAGATGATGAAGGAGGTAAGAGCACCCTCACTGTCCCCCACTCTGTGTCTCTCCTCGCGGGCAAAGAGGAGCCCGCCGGTGCCTCCCCGGCACATTCATCCTCTGCAAGTAGAGCAGATAAACAGGCAGTCAGATCATCGCTTTTTCACTGATGCTCACAGCATCGTTCTCCTTGAATGCAGCATGGATTCATATGTTTAAACTCTGCCTCTGTGTTCATCCTTTTGACCAGTGTGTGAACACCGTATTAGCAGTGACTGTGCTCATTAAATAAAGTTAGATCTATAGGTGATGGAGAAAATTGTGGCAGGATTTAAGTGTTCCCCCCTCACCACCTAGAGCGACACAGTTAGCCACAAACACACACACACACACACATGCTCACAAAGTGCCAGGTTGAATACAGATCTAGCGGTAACTAAGTCACCTGAGGGCCCAACTCTGCGCAGCACAAACAATGTCAGAACTGAGGGGGAAATTCAGCTAAACTCTGCCTAGAATAATTGTTCTATTTTATATAAGGCAGCTGGGTAAATGGGATCAAATTGCCTTGGTAAGGATAGGTTAGCAGCATGAAATGCTTAGTTGACAATGCTGAAGGACACGTCAGTATCTCAGTAATGCCATTCATGAAAAAATAAACGAACGCTATATTGTTTTAAACCCTATAAATCTACAGTCGACTACAGATCATAACGCTGTCCATCATCGTGTTTCTAAATTCAGAGTATTGCAATACACAATAATAATAATTAGAATAAAAATAGTCAAATGTCATTTTAGCATTTTATTTAAATATTTAACTTGTGCATTAAAGAGTTGGTCAAATTATTAAAATATGGTGATGTAGCAAACTAAAATTAATTATCGATCAGCTCTAAAGTAAATGTTGCATTGTTCTCTACAATGTTATATTGTTTTTATGCATTTCAGAGTCTTACTTGGAAGTCAAGAATATAATTGTATTTTAAAACTCTCAAATGCAATTCAAATGTCTTGATAAATCACGGTGAGTGGCACACATTCACTGCAGGTTTTGAGGTACTGTAAACATTTCACAGTACTGCACATATCTATTACGTTTTACACACACACACACACACATATTTGTCTGTCACTGTCGAGTATGCGCCGGCTCAAACGGCCAGTTAATTGAGAGTCCAGAGGTTTGGTTCTCTTGCAGTTAAGGCCGCCGGAAAGATTATTACTCTGTGGAGGGAGACCTCTTAATACAGAGCCGGGGGCCGGGGCATTGGAAATTACAGTGCTGAGGGTTAGTGAGATAGCCCCTGCGATCTTGATTATGTCCCCTACCCTTATCCCTTATGTCCACTGGCTACAAGCACAGAGAGAGAGAGAGAGAGAGAGAGAGAGAGAGAGAGAGAGAGAGGGAGGGAAGGCTAGCCCGGTCCCCTGCTCCCATCTTCCCATCAGCAGCCCCCACAGCCTCCTGCTGGTCACCGAAAAAATGTTTCATCTCTCGCTGTCTTACTCTTAGCTGGTGATGTGTTGAATATTGTCCCATAAGCCTTTCAAATGGATCCTGTACCTAGGTAATCATTTGACTGGAGCCCTGCGTAGATGACCTGCTCTCCAAAGTCACTGACTGGCGTGTGCCTGCCGGGAGTATGTCTATACATTCACAGCAAATTATCCCCTTTTGATATTTACATGCTTCAGCGAGAAAGCTGGACGCGACCGTAATAAGGGTACGCCTGGCCTGCTCGCTGCCAGACAAAAGCCACCTTGATGCATGTCCAGCCGAGGGAAGGAAGCGAGTGTAAGTAACGTGCCGTGCCGAAGGAGAGACGGCTCCTCCTGATGGAGCCGCCCTCTGCGTCAGAAGAAAAACACACGGCTTGTTTGCGGCTGCTTTGATGCCCCGCTTGACCTCCAGTAATGGGTTGAATTTGAAGCTCATTTAAAAATGTTGTTTCTTCTTTCACTTAATAATAGACTTTGCATATAGACAACATAAGCCTCCGTGCTTCACGTTGAACTCTCATGGAGTGTGGTAATAGTGCATTACTGGCTGAAATGAAAAGGCGCGGGTGTGGAGGGACAGACACCCCAGGAAGCTGTTTGCAAAGAGCCGGACGGCAAGGCTTTTTGATGTCATTGCACTAAGACCATTAAATTTGATTGGGGGTCCAGGGGGGACGGATTCTGCTGAACGCTGTGCTTTGTAAATGAGAGGACAAAGTGTCACCGGGGCCTCATGAATATGAAATACCCGCGCCCGCATTTATTTGGATATCAGAAACACAGATGAATCTTGTCAGCGGCTAAACGAGCTTGGCATTTTTAATTTGGTTTAATTAAAAAAGAGAAAGAAATAAGTTATCAACAGAGGGTGAGCTTTTTTTTTTTAATCTACTGAAAGTTGATTGGTTAGGTTTTGTAGAATTAAAAAAAAAAGAAAAGAAAGTATTTTAAAGTCTCCACAACTTTTATAGAGAACTGAAATGTTGTTTTCCATCAAATATCGATGTTTCTTCAACTCCGGTTTATTTTCCGGAGTTATTTTGAGGGAATGACATAGATGCTGAGATATTTCCTCACATCAGATGCACACTTCCATCTCCTCACCTCTATTTAGCTCCTCTATTGACTTTCCCCTCAGGGCTCAGTACTGTGGTTAGAGATTACTGACAACCCTCTCCGTGCAGTCCAGCTCTCTCTCTCTCTTTTCCTCTCAGCATCTGTCTGTTGTCCTCTCTCTCTCTTTCTTCCGGTCTCTATCTGTGTTTCTCTCTCACTGTCAACACTCGGCTGTCGAGCTAATAAGGATGCGCCGCCCCCGAAAGTATTGTTCAGGAAATCCACATCGCATCCAAAGTTAACACGTTTTCTATAAGGGCTATATGAGGAGCCGGTAAGGTCTGTACTATACAACAATGTATACTGCTGACATGATTGACAGTTTCTCCTCATTGATTGTTGTGTACATTCTCCTGCAGCTATATAGTTTCCTTGATATGATGCATATCATCACTCAATAATGCACTTAATGGCATGAGTCTTTGAACACATTTCAATCATTCTATTGATGAACTATTGATAATTTAGCTTAATTGCATCCAATCTTTCTATATCCTTAATGATGCTTTTTTTTTTTTTTTTTTTTTTTTTTTTTTTTTTTTTAATTTCCCTGCTCCAACAAATGTCCGTCTGAAAAAATGCGGTGAAAGTTTCCCCCTGTCCTTCTTGGGAGCACAGCCATCCTCTGTCCTGTTGCGTTTTGCCAATTAAAGTGGGTTCCCACTGTTTGAGCAGCGGGTTGGCGGCTCCTGGCACTGCAGCTCCTGCCAGGAGCCGCACTGTGACTTCCGACCCCACACAGATGGGCCTGCGAGCAAATACTCTTGCACGTGGCTGGATGCCGCCCCAGTCGGAGTGGCAGAGTGGACGTGGAGGTCGGCCTACCGGCCACCGCGGGTCCTCGGGGTGGGCGGCGCTGACAGGGCCCAAATGCTAAGGTAGCAGGGGGTGCTTTCTGGGGAGCCCCTGGCTAGCGCCCCTCTCACAGCACGAAGAGCTGCCGCCTCGCCTCCTGAATATTCATGGCCGCATGGTTATTGTGACAGGGCAGCTCTTATGAGAATGTAACGAGAGGGGGGGGGGGGGGGGGCATGGTCACACATACCCATATTCAAACAAAGATGTTGCAGCCGTACACAGGGGAGTTTCTGCATTTTTCATGAATGATTCTGTCATTTGGATGCCAATCAGATTTTCTCATCATAGTTGGACACTTTTTTTTTTTAATGTTATCAGAATGTTTGTAAAGTGTTGTGGTCTCTGTTTTTTGGTTTTCAGATATTCCAGTGATTCCAGACCTCGATGAAGTACAGGAAGAAGATCTAACAATGCAAGTTGCAGCTCCACCAAGGTAGTGACGCCTTCAACTTTTAGAAGTTCATCCCTTTATACACACACACACACACACACACACACACACACACCCACACACAGCGTGTCCTTACATGACAGTTAACCTCTGTCCGTGCACAGGACGCTAGATCAGTAGCCTGCTCTGGTGACTTTGATGGTTACCTGTCCCCCACTCGTGCCATTGCAGAGTGTCTTACTTTATCAGGCCGAAATGGAGAAATAACAGTTGGGTGTGATTTATGCAACTCTGTTAGCAGGGTCTCTACTAACCAGGGCCTTTGATTTACAGGGCAGTGAGAGACACGCCGACATGTGTCGAATATGTAGCAAGGCTATGACAGCGGTGGAGGTTATTAGGCTGGGGCTTGCTCTCTGTGCGAGATAATATCCACATTGAACTCATTGCGGGGGCAATGTAGCGTGTAATGTGCAGTAAGTAGGACTGGCATGCACTGCTAGGCCCTGGCCACTTTGAGAGCCCCCCCACTTAATTCCAACCCACAGATAAGCAGCTGGGTTTCAATTTGAAGCGTTTACCACTTGGCAACCATGTCCTGCTCTCTGTGGTCTTTGCTTGAAGTCTTCAAACTTCTACAAAGACACTTCTTAGACTTGGTTTGCAGTTTGCATGTAAGCGTGAAAGCGCTTCAGTCAGGATGGCTGCTGTTTTTCTGCGACGTGTTGTCCGGATGGAAACACGCGTCTGTTGTGTTCCTCTCGTGTATCGGACACTTACTCTGACTTTCTGTGATCTTGTTAGCATCCAGGTGAACCGGGTAATGACCTACAGAGATCTGGACAATGATCTGAAGTATTATTCTGCGTTCCAGACCTTAGTAAGTCAAGTACATTTATTCTTATATCTCTTCTCGTCAAAGCGGTCCATTTCATTTCATACCTGACAACAGCTCTGTTTGTGCAAAGCTAAGTGAATTTGGCCGCAATCTTTCTTCAGGATGGAGAGATTGACTTGAAGCTACTCACCAAGGTTTTGGCACCAGAACAGGAGGTGAAGGAGGTGAGTGAGTTTTTAGTAAATATAGCGTGTGAGCTCCCAGCGAATGCCTGTCCAGCTGTTTCTGGAGCACCAGGGGAGGTTGCCACTCTGTCTCCCAGGTAATCAAGATTTATGATGTGTACATTAACACCCTCTGCTCTCCTTACCCCGTTCTCCTCTCTTTGCTCCCCCCTGTTCCCCATGCTCTCTTTCTTGGTATGTCTCCCTCTGCCTCCCTAATTCTTCTTTTCTCCCCCTCTTCTGCTACGCAGGATGATGTGAACTGGGACTGGGATCATCTGTTTACAGAGGTGTCCTCAGAGCTGCTGATGGAATGGGATCAAGGAGAGAGTGAGGAGCAGGTTGCATTGCCTGTAACATGAGGTGGAGCTTTGGACTGTGACTTTAAACGGCTCAAGGGAGAACTGGGTGAATGTCTATTACACAGACGGGCCAGTGACTTTGGTTATAGTAACTTTAATTGCTATTTGTTATCCAGAATGTATATATTTTAAAGCGTAAATACAGTGTTTCTTGTATTTTCTAAATAAAGTTCACGGTGCAGTGAATAGTGCGGCGTTGTCTTCTTTTTAGGTTTGTTTTAAATAACCTTATTTGTTTGTTAGTTTTAAACTTAAACAGCCAAAAGGCAAACTGATTTATTGGGAAAAAAAGCTTCTCTGAAAAAAGCCATCACAGATACAAATGCCCTTCCTGTACGGCCGGCATTATCAACACCCTCATACAAGTCCAAGGTTGATAATCAGCTAAGCTGAAATCCAGTTGATTGTGTTCAAATTAACATTCCTCATTAAAGCCTACAACCTTATTGTTATTGACTGTGCCATTGACTTTATCTTCCAGGTCTTCGATAGGAGCAACCCCTTCTTCACTATTATCTCAAATGCATTGAACAGCGTTCCTATTGACACCTGGGGGATTAGCATACATTATACCTTTTTACTGGATAAAGAGGAATGGATGTAAGACAGCAGCTGGTGTCAGGTGTGTGCTCTTCAAAGTGATAGAACACAAATTCCTTACACCAATGTGATAACGCTGAATAAAGAGCCCATAAAACAGCCCACAGGACGGAAAACGTATGTTTTCCGCTCTGAATTTAAATCGACATTGGCTCTGACACATTTGCACAGACTTTGATATGATTTCCGCTGTATAACGTGCCTTCAACGTGTGCTGGTCGCAAGTATCAGCATTCAGTTTTGTCTTTGGTTCATGTGTGTGAATATAAAGGCAGGCCTCCAAAGTCAGGCCAAGTCTATTAGAGAAACGGCTGTAACATTTACAGATTGTGATTAGGTTTATTTCTGAGGCAGGGAGCAGTCTCGTGACATTTGGAGATGCACAGCAAAACCCTCAAGGACACGTAATCTATGCATCTAACAGCTCAATCACTGCCCATCACAAATAGATCCTGATTTTTATTTTTTTTTTCATTTGGTGGGCCTTGAATCAACTTCATCAAGTGTATCACCTCAGGACGAAGCTATCACACGGGATACTTGTGCTCAGAATACGTGTGTGGCAGAATATTTGAGCTCAGTGCTCAAACGCAGTGAGCGATCTCTGTTTGTTTCTCTATCAGACAAACAAACGCACACCTTTTTTTTTTATTTATTTTTTTTTTTTTACCGCCTCCACAATTGGCTTATTTAGCCAGACTTAATGAATTCTACCCATATGCCCTGAGCAGCTGCTATGTTGCCCCTTCCTCCCGCCCCTGCCGAGCTGCGAAGTGCCCATCCATGTAGAGACAACCTCTAGCTGTCTCTCTGGAGAAGGCTAAGCCTGCCACTCCTCTGCTGGCAGTGGGCCGGTGCTGTCTGAGGTGGACTGCGGACGGGCCGAGGACTCAGATTAGGGCCCGGCGATCACGGGTTGTGGCCGGCCTCAAATGATTGGCCCGAGCATCGGTGGATCAGAGAGGGGATTAGAGAAAGAGAGAGATCCAGAGACGCTGTTTGGCATATGCTTGCATCCAGCTTCTCAAAGTGACCTCTCTCTACACACCCTCGTCCTGCCGCTCTCTTCTCCTTTATTCTCTCCATGTCTCTCAGTGCACACAGTATATCCTGATGCTGCAGCGAATGACCTCTCACTGTCTGGGTGCAGTGAATTCAATCACGTCTAAACAGCTACAATATGTACATTATTTCTAGTGAAGAAGACAGTTGTGTTCATAGAGAGCTTTTTGGTTATGGGGTAGCTTTTCAGATGAACATGGTGTCACTGAGAGGTGAGCTGAGTCTGAGGCCACGTTGATGCTGTGTATATCAGATCAGATGATACAGGCCTCACATGGGTTTGGGGTGTAATTTGTTTTCCTTGACATTTTTCTATTAAAATAATGGAGCCATTACTGCTGTAAAAATCCATGTTGCCCCAATGGATGCTTCTGTAATCCGATATTTCATTCACAATGTTCCCGTAATGACACAGTGTTTAAAATCCTTTGATTTGATGGGACGCATGCAACACCGTGGCTGACCAAATCTCAGAGTTTATGTAGGACAAGAAGTTTTCTCGTGTGAATCTCCACTGTTTATTTTTAAAGCAGCAGTTTGTTACTGAAGACCCACTATAAAACCTTTAGGCCAGTATGGACCAGCTGAGCACAGGGACTTCTCAGGCCGTTGAGTTTAAATGGGTAATTTATCTGTGTTTTTATTGGGTCCCTTGGTGGAAATGACTTTTCATTTTGTGGCAAAGAAAACAAACGCAAGGAAGTAATACAAGTTTAATAAAAAACAGACGAAGGCCCTGTTAATGTAATGTTTTTTCCTGCTCTTCATCGACAGGCTTGTCTTAATGTATTTTGATATTGGGCACTAATTGGAAGGATATAATAGAGATAATATGCTTCCAGCTCTGCCTCATATGCTGTGGTGTTGACAGAAGTTTATACATCTTATCTGGTCTCAATATCTGCCTTCCATGGCCCAAAAGCAATATGCTGAGGCGTAATTAAAGAAAATGGGGAGATGTGAAGATAGCATGGGGCCCGATGCCGGGGCCCCGCAGACAGAGAGTGAGGGGTGAGGACAGACACGCTAAAGCTCTAGGAATATTAGGACCAGTTCATTCCACCAGGGGCCGCGTGCCTGTCACAGGTTCCCTGTCGCTGACCCAGCCAGCAGGTACCATGAGAGGATTATTATCAGTTAAAAAAAGGCAAAAAATAAAGACATCCCCCTTTTTTAAAGCCAGACCGAGATCGTGTTTTACACATTAATTTATAACGTAACTAGCTCAACCATATCAACCATATTCAAATAGATCTTGTGCCTTTTGAAACGAGCCTCAAAAAACAGCCGCAGTATTGATTTGCCACACAGACTGTTATTTCAAGTTTATAGGAGAAGTCCTCGCCACACAACTAAGGCAGTCAGATCAATATCATTTTTTGATCAAAAGGGGATTTGCTTTTGAAATAGCTAGATTAAACAGATGCTTTATTTTTCACTAGATATACTGCACCTTTAAAAAAAAACCCTGCAGGGGTTGTGGGAGAGGAGGGGGAATTACGCCACAAGAGACAATGAAAGCGGTATTTTTTAAGACTGAAAGTTTGATGGGTTTAAAAGTATTTTCAGTTTTGTCAGTGCAATTTTCCCCCCTCTCTTCTTTAGTTAATATTCTACAGCTCCAAGCCCTTTTTTGTTTACCCCAGGTGGGCTTGGACATGAAATGGCCGGGACGGTGGCAGCTTTGAATGCCCCTGGGCATCTTGCGGCCGTCATGTTGTCAAAGGACCCAGGAGGGGGAATGAGAGGCCGGGAGTTTTTTTTCAAGTGTAAACCATGAGATGGAGGGAAAAAAAAGCTTCTGTTCTTTTTGTAACTGTGAGATTGGCTGAATTCATTATTATTATTTCCCCTCATATGTTTTTAGTGCAGCCGAGGGTTGGAAGGCGAGACAGGGGTTCGAACATGAAATACAGTCTAGCTCCACATTTGTCATGTATTTTATTATTTCCCTTCCTCACCTCTCAGTCCTGTACGCGAGGTCCTTCATTTTTCACATGACTGGTTTTCTTATCATTGTGGGCCCTCTCCGCTGGCCTATGAGTGACTTAAAGGCAATAAAACACAAAACATTCTGTAAAACACGGATGCCTCTCTGATCGCGGAGGACCTGCAATGCCTCTCTGGGAAATTATGATAATAACTCAGTGGTGGTTGGAGTGGCCAGGTCGCTTGTGGGGGGCTGGGGGGCAATGGGATGGGGTTCACCAAGGTCCTCTGAGCAGGGACAGGTCAAGGTGGCCTGCTGGGCCTCGCCACCCCCCACCCCCCTCCCTCCCCCTCTGTCATAAACTCTTTCCATCATACAGGATGCCGTTCGCAGCCAGGTATTCAGCAGAACCTCTTTGTCTTGAAGCCACTTGCGATAAAGCAAGGACTGATGGGAGAGTAGTTGTGTTGGCCCTCCGGCAGTGGTGAGGTCAGCCCAGGAGCTTATCCTAGCCAGCAGGGGAAAACGCCTGAGTCAACACAACAGTTTGCCCTCTGAGGGTCACAGACACACTTCTGTTAATGTACTTTGAACTTGGTACTTTTTTAAATTTTTGTTCCCTTTGAGGGAAAGATACAAGGCAGCAAGAGCACTTTGTCTGGTCGTGATTTTTGGTGTCTGGATTTGTTGCTGGGCGGGAGGGGCTGGATGTAACCCCACAACACCTCTCGAGTGTGTGAATGAGAAGGAGCGAGGACAGGAAGAGAGCGCGGGCTCCACCACCGAGGTGCTGACAGAGGGGATCGAGGGGCTGAGATTGCACCTGTTCCGGCCCAGCATCCTCCCAGCAGGGTCTCGCCAGAGTCTCAGCCTTCTCCTGGCATCTGTGATGGGGGCCAGGGCCAGTCCCACCTCCAGCGCCCGCTCCACCTCTTCTTTGCTTGTAGAAGAGAGACGAGGAACGCTGTAGGCTCCATCTGCCGAGGGCTCGCTGCGGTCTCTGCGGCCCGCCTGGGGAAGGGAGTTGCTGGGCCTCCACGACTCTGCCACGGGGGTCTCACAGTGGTAGACTACAGCGCCGCACATCACACGTCACATGCCAGCTGGCCAGGCTCTCTCCACTGTAAACAGAGACTAATGACCAGTCAACACACACACACACACACACACACACACACACACACACACACACATTCACACACACCAAACTCATAGCCCTTGGTAGAATGTAAGGGAAAAGGCTTGGTTTGGTTTGGATAAAGGAAAGCAGCATCCTGAGGTTTCTTCACAGGATCTGCTGCTGTAGGAGAAGCTGTTTGAGCCTGGAGAGGGAGCTCACTGTCACAGTGGGACGTTACTAAAGCTACTCTTTGGGTCTGACTCTGAGTCCACTACATCACAGCCCACTGGTTTCCTGCATGCGTGCAACATCACAGGACTCCCAGTGCTCCGCAAGCCCCCAGGCTCGAGCCGGTCCACCTGCTGAGTCTGTAAAGCTCTCATGTCGGATCTCTTTCCTGAGGAGCTGCATGCAGCCATGAACTCTGAGGAAGAATATTGCATTGGGCCCTGCTGAAACATAATCCTATCATTT